GTGAAGATGACAAATGACCGGACAATTTTACAGCGCATACCGCAGTCATTTGAGCACGCGTTGCACGACCGATTAAACCGGGTAGAAACGGGAGAAAAACAAATCTGTAGTACTCTATACTTCAATGATTGAGATACTTATTGCTAAACCAATCGACTATATTTTAATGAAATATTACATTTTAATAGAAATACACATATTAAACGTACAATTGTGAATAAAATTTTAATATTTAATATATTTTAGAATTACATTGCATAGTGGTTGAAAATATTCTCGATACTTGTCAATCAAACTATGCAAACGCTAAATTTTTTCTGAAGATAAATTGATTTTTTGGTAACTTTTCTGCTGAGTTTTTTTCGTGAATTTATAATTTTAAAGAATATTCAGGAAAGATTAGATCGCAATCGGCTATTAAATAACAAATTACTCGATGAAGACATAGAGTACGGGCGCGATGAATTTCAGTCACCGCCAGCGGCGTTCTCCCGCTCCCGAGATTAATTATTTCCGGGATACATTAGCGCCATATACTTTGTCGACAAAGTAATAATGGCAACACGCGCGCGATCCCAGAACCGATAAAACGTGGTAACAAGGTCTCGCGAATTAAATAACGGTCAGACGACTAGGAATAATTTTGCAAATTTTAACGCTTTGGTTTGTAATCGAAGTGCATAATGTCTCTATAATTATTTTTGTAAAGAGATTTTATCATAGTTATATGCAATTAGCTCGTGCAATATAAATTTATGAAAAAATAATTTATCTAGCAATCGTAATAAATTAGGTAAATAGAAATGGAAATGTGCAAACAAGTAATATATGAAACAAGTTAGAAATTACGGACACAGATTTTGTAAAATACTTACATTTAGGCGAATTGAATTTTTAAATGCGCTATAAATTTTCAACAGAGTATATCCTTTCTCCATGTAGTAAGAGTCGTCTGTCTTTCAAAATACCCGATTGATATTTATCATCTCTTTGTTTGTCACGGTTTTGTTGAATAACCACGATGATTTGACTTATGAATTAATCAAGTCGCAGGAGCGACGCTTCGCTCTTTCTTGCCATACGCTCATTATTCTTCCTCATTCCTCCAGCTAGACGAATGGCGGCAGTTAATTAACGAGCAAGTTATGGAGTTTCTCTCGCGGCAAAAGGCGATTCGTGCAACGAGTGTGAGCCTCTTGCGAATTTTATTGTGTACACCGAGCGCGCCTTTGTTTAATATCTGCAACATTGTGTGACGCCGTCAAATATGTGCGTCCGGACGCATTAATTTAACGCACTGCAATTTTTCAAGCTGTAAGGATGGTTTTGTGATTCAATGGAAATCTCGTGAAGGTCGAACGGGCAGCTTTTGTGCAATAAAGAAGGACATTTATTTGATTCGTTTATGTAGAGAAGCATCTCTTACATCATAGTTTGATATGTATAATTATATGGAGAAATATACGTAATTAATATTTTTAAAAAAGTTGACATTTTGTATAATAAAGGAGAAACTCGATTACGTAATAATTATAAAATTAGAGAAGCCAGGTTGTCAAGCATTATCTGGAGAAAACGTTTCATACAAATCACATTTGTGTTATTTATTTACAAAATTTAAATATTAAATTTGTATTGTCTTTGACATCGAAAGAAACATGAGTCACATCTGCTATTACAACGCGATACACGTTTGACACGATTCGCGTCGTACTCGGTTGACGAAAGGAGGAAAGTCCCACGGATCGGTACCAGGAATCCCCCTATAAAGGTTGATCCGTGGTAAAGAAAGCAAACCGGATGTGCATACATATGAGAAGGCGTTGGCAATGTACTCGCGTTTTTGCGCGACTATCGTGAGAATGATAATATGAAAAAAACCTTTTCATTGAACAAGATTTATTACAAATTGGTCGAAGAATTTGTAGATAAAAGAAATCTACGTAGAAAACCTATAACATTCTGCGTAATATTATTTGCTGATCCTGAGAGTGCACTTTGCTTGGCGCCAGTCGCAATTTCCAGACACTCCGTTACATAAGCGTAGTACGCATTATTAACAGGTTAGCAGCTCGGTATTAATAATGTATTATTTCGCGAAGTTTTTGCACGTAGGTGTGCCCCCTTTGGACCCGAGGTTATCGCAAGAATAGGATCAATAATTTTATTGTTTCCATGAACGCGTGTCTTTGATTGAGAGCATCATGGCATCATGTAACGTCAACGAAATTAGTGCACGTAGGCGGAACACGATCATAAGGAAAATTTGCATTTTGCGAGTAGGCGAACGATATTTCGAAGAAAATCTTTGCCGTGGAAAAAAGTCTTGTGATTTCTGATTAGATAATGTAAAAAACAGTTTTTTCAATTTTTCTTTAAGTATAAACATATTTAATTTTGTTATTATATATTTATTGTAATGTCTAGTTTATTATTTCTTATAATTTTGTAAAAAGTCAATCAGAAAGTTATTTTTGCATATTTTACTATTAATTTTAATATCATATAAATTTTTCCAAATTAATTTCTCGATATACTTTTATACTATCTGATGTAAAAATACTGTACCTCCGCGAGAAAGTATCAAAACTCGCTGAGAGTTTAAGCAGCATGCAGTATTATGTAAGAAAATTGCAAGATAAGCATCACTTTCATCTAGTCTTGTATGCGTTTGTCGAGTAAAGCTAGCTGACACCACACTTTCCCGGTGGTCTTAATGACTGATGCAAATGTGCTGTTATTAGTCCTCGTTGGGCTCGTTTCGCTACTATTTGTCTTTATAGCTCTCTGCGGCATCGTCGTCGTCCCCTTTGCATAAAGAACCAGCGACAACATATCGCAGTAGAGACGATTTTTTCTCGTTACTGTGGTTGATCGCGAGCGCGAAACAATACGACGCTCAATCGTAACTACGCCTACGAGGCGCGATCGTTAGTTTGATGGATGTGTTTGGAAGCTTAGTTTTTCTTCACTCTCGGCTTGTTATTACACTGAAATGCAACTGACGAATGACTCGCTCGAGGACTTGAGCACTTGAGAAACTCGCTACGACGATGTTTAAGTTCTGGTTTATTAAATTCAAGCATAATTGTACCATAATTAATTTGAGTAAAATTATGGATTCTTAAAGAATATTTTGTGAATTTATCTATGTTTTTAATTTGAAACGTATATTATATTAACTTGAACTGATTTAAAGTGAATTTGATGCTCTTAAACACTTTCTTTTTTCATGAATATGCATTTTTACGTTGTGCAATTACATATTCTGCTACCTCAACTTATTGCGTAGTTACTTGCGTAGGTACTTGCGTAGTATTACGATTTTTTACACTCTGTGTAGCTTTTGCACGAATAAACTCGATTGACCTCAGAATAAGTTTCTCACAACACCGCAAATTCCTATTACGGTTTCGATTCGTCAGCAAACCGGAATCTTTGTGACGGTAGTCGACAAACTTTTAAATGATTGAAATGTGCTGTCCTATGAGAAATCGGGTCTGGTCTCAATCGCCGAGCACGCTTGCTTGATAGTCTGTGTTTTGTTATTGGACGCTGCAAAAAAATCGACGATCGATGGCCCAATCCTTGGCACGTGCGATGTCGTTGCAATGAATATTGCTCAAGTTACAAGTTTTCATATTTTACCTCGACATTTTCAAAATAAATTAAGCGCAGAAAATAAAGTTCAATAAAATGATAAATTTTACCAATTTTTTATATTAGTAAATTATAATATTGAAAATAAGAAATCGGAATTTACATGACTAAAAATTTGAATAACATCTTTTTAATATTTAGCACAGGATGTTCTTCTAAATTAAAATCTTCAGTAAAAATTTATTTCACATTAATTCAGATATAAAATTTTTCAATCACACAATTTACAATGCCTAATTTTAATTTGTTATTTATTATAATTTAATAACTACGCGAAAAAATTCAGCATCGAAAAGACGAACAATTAGCGGTGGTTATATTTTTACCACCACATCTTCGCCACTATTTTTATCACATTAATTATTCGCGTCAGGATAAAGCGCCACCACTTGCGGTTTTCATTTAGATCTCACCGCTCTTCTATTCGCGAGGAGGATGATGTCACAATGAATGGCGCCTGTTGGCTCTCGCGAAATTGCGGGAGCATTTCTAGAAGTGGAATGAGTAGCGTCGTTGATCCGATCGCTCTTCTTTTGTGAATCATCGTTGTTCCGGCGATGATGAAATCATACATATATCGTTATGAATCGTTCCGTGCTCCAGAAGCGCACACTTTCCACCTAACAAATGTTTAGTTTTTTTTATTAAATTGAATTTTGTTTAATTAAATTATCAACGATTTATATACTTATAGAGAAATTTTTTGTGAAACACAACGAGACTAATTGGAATTGGTGTATGTCATTTTATGACTCAGGCGGCTATCTGTAGAAGGGATTGAACGTGTCAAGAGTCGTCTCGCGATCTCGTCTGACGCTAATTATCGCGGCTGGACGTGAGAATTAGGGACGTAAACCTAAACGACGTCGCCGTCGTCGCGTAAGAGCCCGCGGAGACCGCGCTGACACTATCGGCGCCCCCGATCTTTCCTTCTCTTCTCTCTTTACTCGCGCGAGAATCATAAGTCAGACACTTTACGTTCGAACAGGCACTTGCGTAAATCACTCATCGCTTCTTTTTGTCGTTTTCTGACCACTTTTTTGATAACTTTTGCTCGATTTAGTGACTAAAGCTCAATGAATACTGCATTTTAAATCTAAACCTTTTCTTAACTTTGTACACACAATCATATTTTAAACTGTTATAATATCTTGAAAAATTTAACAGCACGTATGCGTCGCATAGCATTCTTAGTGAACATTTTAAAAGGATCGTTATCAACATTCGTGTCAGCTTTCATTTTACCCTCCTATCTCGAGCGGCACTTCACACAGTTAGGGAAAGCAACTTATCTCGTCCGCGAGGTTATAACATTCTCGAAATAATTGTGACGAAATATTATGAAGAAGGCTGGGGCATTGCAGATCGAGGTGAGCACCGAGGAGGAATGGCGACAGCTGTTGAGTCGTCCGGGTCTGACTGTCGTGGATGTATATTCTGACTGGAGCGGTCCGTGCACCGCTATGGTGAGCACCTTGAGGAAAATTAAGATGGAGATAGGTGGCAACTTGATAGATTACGCGATCGCGCGGAACGATGACATTGACGACTTGGCGAGATTTCGCGGACGAAGCGAGCCCGCTTGGATGTTTTTGCAAGACGGCAAGATGGTGAACTTGATGTTTGGCGCGCATTGTCCGCGCCTGAAGAAGCTGCTGACGGACGAGATAAGAAGGATGATACAGATAGACTCGCCAAAGTGGCGGCTGAATGTCAGCGAGCGGGCCCCTGAAGAGGAAGTTCGATGGCAAAAGCAGGAAGTCGCTAGGTGATTAAAAAGTTGATTGTACAAAGCCAAGAATTCTTGTCTTCGATTTTAATTTACAATCGAGAAATGAAAAATATTAATGATTGAACGATGATATTATGCGAATAAATTTAAATTAATTAACAATATTAGATTACAGCAATAATAGTTTGATGATTTGTTCTTAATTTTATCGCGCATTCAAATTACCTTTATAATTGTCGGTGATATTTTTAATCATGTATACTGTATACTCGGAGATTTTGCTTTGCGCCGATCTCACGATGTCGCCGTGAGGCTAATAAAGTGCAGCCTCGAAAGAAAAAAGTTCAGAGTCGTATATTTTACACAAAAACTGTCTTGGTAAAAAAGACGAGTGCTGGAAGAGCAGAAACGAGCGAGGGAAGAGGCCGAGAGGTGGGAGAAATACGAGCGATTCATGGCGCAAATGGTGGATAAACTGTGCGAGGAAACGACACTGGTGCTTTATCCGTGGGTCTTCAAGGACGAACGCGGCTGGTCGCGGGACAAGATGCAGAGTCCGCCGTACACCGAGCTCGTGCAGGATCTCTTCAGGCAGTGCTTCGATGTGCAGGAGGAGGCACGAATCCAGCTGAACGAGGACATGATCAAGAAGATGTTTGTCGAGAGCGGCATCGATGTCACCAAGGAATTGATAGCAGGTGCATTGCAAGAAATAAGTTCGTGATTAGAATTAACAAAGGTTACATAAGATATTTTCATTTCAACAAAATAAATAATACATAAAAAAAAATAAGAAAAAGACACAAAGTTTGCGAACTCGACTCTTCAGGACTGATGGATGGCAAATGTATGGCAATGAGGCTGAAAGGTAAACCGCCGCATCTAGATTGGCCGGTGCATTATCCTCACGAGTATCCGGAACGCAGCTCGAAATGTCCGATCCGCGCGATTGACGACGTGGAGAATTATCTCATCAACATCATTACGGTAGGGCCGCCGCCTCTCTTGCTAAGTGGAGTCGGCATCACGAGCAGACCGACTTACGACGCGCCTTACATCAAGAGGCACGTGTATGTCCACGAACCGGATCCGGAAATCGAAGGTGATGTGCGTCGCGTGCATCCCGCAGCATGGGTACCGCCTCAGGTACTTAGACTTAAGCAACCAAATGTGGAACTTAATTAAAAGTTAATTGAATAGAGCATCTAATTTCCGCAAAATTAATTTTATATAAGAACAAAAGAATACAATTATCATGAATAATTTCTTGTACAAATGATAATTGTTGAGAATCGCTTTCAAGAAAATTCATTACAAGCGAAACATTGTTACATTATAAACATGGACTACACACAGGCTAGAAGCAAAGTTCATGCCTTCAAGACTTTATTCCCGGCTTACTTGGAAAAGGCTTATCCTTACGAGGAACCGGTAACTCCTCCGTCATTGTGCGCTTTCAAGTTTGAGGCGTCGAAGTGCAACAATGTACGAGACGCTTACGAACTGCATCGTAACGCAATCGAATATTTCGGCGCCTTCGAGTTTGATCGACCGCCTTACGCGAGACGCCTCGCATCCAAACCCTTAGATTTCGAGAATAAGGTATCTTTGTTTTGCCTTTGTCGTAATTTAACGATGCAATTGTTTAACGATTTGGTAAAACTCGCGCTAAATTAAATATATAATTTTCATAATTTAATATTACTTTAATAAAATTAGTGGAGAATTAAACGCCGTTTCTTGTCGTAATTTAATGATACAGCTTGTGGGAGAAAATTTGTGGTAAATCAAAATTATTTGTGAAAGGTGAAGCACAAAACAGGGGCCGAGGTATTCGTAGTGATAATTCGGAGGATCAATGAAGAAGCCTTTCTAGCTTTTGCCAGTATCGAACCGTTCTTCGTGTCAGAAGCCGACGAGAAAAGTCAAGAAATGATAACGGAATATTTTCCGGAAGGAATCGAAGATATGATATCATTCGCACCGGATGAGCAAGCGGCATTTTACGAGGAAGAAGAAGAGGAAGAAGAAGAGGAAGATTATAAAGATGATACTGTTTAACCTTTTTATGAATAATTCTCATAAGAAAAATAAAAAAATATACACATTTATAAATTTAACATTTTTAGAGTTACTTTATAGTGGCAATTTATAAATACGCAATTAAAAATTTCGAACAAACAAAGTTGCAAAAAATGATGGAAATTTTTGCCATTTGGAATGATTCGTATTTTACGCGTTTACAATCTCTGCATATTTATGGCAGCGATCATCAATACTTAATTACTCGTTATGTTTTGCACAGCGTATTTACCTAAGTTTGGCGAAATACCAATTTCGTAGAAATTATAAACGTAGCTATTTTGCTGCTAATTTAAATTCTCCGATTAAACTATACCAAAATATTCACGAAAAAATAGGCGAAGAGAATCAACGAAAACACTTCACTGAAACTTTTATTTTCATGAAATAATACATTCATAGTACGTTGAATTATTTTTAGATCATATTTTTTTAGAATTGTAATTGAAATTTTTATTATGATTTTTATTATAATACTTAAACATTATAACATACGAATTTAATTAAGTCTCTTGAATTCCTAATTAAATTTTTAATTAAATTTAATATCTTATTTAATTTTATTTCTAATTTATTTTAATTTTTAATTTGATTTATGCCTTGGAAAGAAAAAGAGGGAGAGAGAAAAGTTTAAATGTTTTCACGGTTAATTAAAGAATGCATACAAATCATAATAATCATTATAATTACTTCTACATATATTTAAATCTGCATAAAAATGTTTATATTGCACAAACTCGTAAATATTTATGTTGTAAAAAATATTAAAAATATTTTTTGCTGAAAAATGAAATAAGAAATTCCAGGCTGTTTGTCAATTCTCGTTTGGATGAAAAAATTTTTTATACTACCACCGTTAATTACGATTAAATCGCTCATAAATGCCGAGCGCCGCGTTTTGCGCAAGGTTTGCGTGTAGCAAATTTCATTGCGCTAATAACGAATAAATCGCGCTTTGCAACAAGATAATTTTCTTTCCAGTTAATCACATCGGGTCTTCGGGAAAGATTATTTTATGTCGCCTTTCTCACGATCGAGATTTCTGATTAATTCGGCTGATAAATGCTGCGCGAGCACACGTTTTTCATCATAGACATTATAACGTCCGTTATGTGCTCTTACGTGTCTTTTTCCTTAGAACACAAAACGATAAACTCGTGACCGGATTCAATAAGTTGCTATAAAGCAGTACGATAAAGTTGCGTTCAGATCGCATGATTAATCTGTAATCATATATTTTCTTGCAAATTTACTTCGCATCTCAACATTCGCTTTACTTTATTATAATTAATTATATTTGGTATGATTGTATGTACACTATTATTTTATTTTATTTTATTTCGTGAATTATGCTTTTTTGAGTATTATTTTGTAATATATTAATGAAATATTCAGTAATTAATATAATGCCTAATTATCTCTTTAAATGATAGGATTGTTCTCGCGGTTTATAAAACTAAGATATTTAATTGCACTAATTTCTAATTGAAATAATTTAACTGATTCAGTCTTGAATTAAAATTTCTAATTAATTTAATGCTTAATTAACGTCAGGTTTTGTAAAACATTTGTAGTATAGCTTTTTTTATTTTTCACACATCAATTCAACAATTGAAAAATTGCAAAAGGAATTGCCGCGATGAATTAACGACATAAATCAGGCCTCGACAATGTCAAGCACGACAGTCAAATGAAAAAAGGACGAAACAGCACTTCTTGTTCTTTCTTCCTTTCTTTTTTTTAATTCGCCATCGTGAGACTGTCACATTACTGCCTCAGGCGGTCAATTGCTTAAACGCCGGTAATTATTGCATAAGTATTACATAAGTAAATAGATGAATTGAGCAGGTGAAGGAGAAGAGAACGTGCGGGAGGAACGGCGGAGGCAAGAAAAAAAAATACAAATTACTGCCACCGGGAGCAATTCACATCACGCGTATTACGTGCGATTAACAATTCTTTCGTCTCCTGCTTCCCTTCTCTTCTCTTTACGATCATATCGTCTCTCGATTTCCGCTTAACGACTTAAGTAACACTTAAGATCTCGTTCTATTCTCGTGGGAAAAATGTGAAAAATGTAATCTCAGATAACCAATAGATAGCTTTTGTTCACTGAGACCTTTCTTCAAATGGAGAAGTCATTTTTGGATTCGAAAAAATTGTTTGTGAAGCAAAAGATTATTTTCTAGAAGTATATATCCTTTATATAAATATGTAATTTTTTTGTTTAACATATATTTTACCAAAGTTACCAAAGTTAAATTATGAGAAAATAAATTATTGTGAAAAAATATCGAGAAAAAGAAAATCATGATTATATTAATTAATATCATATTATTATAAAGGAAATATTGTACTTTAGATTATAATCATACATAATTGTCGATATAAGCTGCAAAAGGTAAAGAAGGTTGTAGTCGCTTGAAAAGTACGACCTTGGCCCACTTGACAAGAATGCTCTCCCGATAGAACATTTCTTTACTCGGTGACGAAATTATTATCGTAATTGTTCACCATCACCGAGCAAATAACTGATAAAATAATTGTGATTTGACGATTTGAATTATGTGCTGCGCTCGAAATTCGAACAATAATCGACGCGAAGTGAAAGTACGCGTATAATGAGGTAAATACTTTGGCATATCGTGTCATAGACGTAATCGTTGTGAATAGTCGATATGACTGTTACGAACATTGTGACATTCTGGATTTTTTGTTACGGATGTAGGGATTCTAATTGAAATCGCGCGGGTTGCAAATGCAATCAGCGCTTCGGAAATTATGTATCGCTAACTATATCTTCATAAAAGAAGTCAAACTGTGTTTTTAAAGGCTGCCAAATTTGTATAAATCGTATTATCTGCAGGATTCCAATCCCAGGATTAACAGAGTTAGAGTTATTTAATGTTAAATATTGAAAGATTGCAATTGTCGAAATGTTTCTCGAGGAATATTGCACCTTTGCGATCTCGTTCGTGTTATCTGCAGAGATTTTAAGTAACCGTGAGACAACTTGTACATGAACGAACGTAGGAGCGGAAATAAATGCACGCACAGCTCGCTGTCACCGTGCTTCCTTTCTTCTTTTTCGCTTCTCGTTTCTGCTTATCGTTTTATTTTCCAGGGCGCTCGTCGCGCATAGGAGCCATCGTCGTTGTCGACGTACGGAATTAATGGCGTCGAGACGTCCGAACCTGATTCATCGACGCCTACTAGTCGTCTACACTGTCGATCTTCCTTACGACAAAGTTCATAGAAATTTTATTTCGACTTTAACTGAAAAGATACGAAGAATCCTCTTGCAAACAAATTTCTAAAGTGTTTTTTTTAAATAATGTTTTTACTCCTTTTAATAAGTTGACAGTAAATTAGTTAGGAAAGGCTAATCCATTAAGAACAAACATGATTAACTTCAGAAGTGATATGAAAATGATTTGTTAAATTACAGCAATAATTAACGTCTGTAACAGCGGCGACACGTACTTGTCACGAGCCGTTTTTCCAGATTTCGCCATCGATCACACCATGTGTCGCTGACCACAGCAAAAATCGCTTCCGCTCCAATTTCGCGGCGGTCCGTCGAATTTTGTCTTAACGAGTAAAAAAAATACCGGTCGACACACTATTTCTCGCGCGCATAATTCCTTGACCTCGTTAATTAGATTCTCATTACGATTTCTCGAAGCCATCGGCTTCTCCCGATTTCCCGGAGAGCCTTTTCTTGCGAAAGAGAATATTAAAAAAAAAGTGGTGAACAATAATAGACAGTCGTTTCTCGCGTAAGACGTAGCAAAAAGTTGCCAAGTTGTACACGCGCGACGTTCTGACACATGCGTGCTTCGTGGAACGTGTGTGAATGAACTTTTTATTTCTCCGACAGATCATTTCGTAACAGGAAGCAAGTAAATTTTAGATTAAATGTCAAAATAAATAAATTAAATGTTCCGAAAAAGAACAAATTTATTTGTTTGAGAGCCAGGTAGTTCACGATTGCTCTTTTATCTCATCGAAAAATGTCAGCGAATGCCGCAATAGACACGTTGATTCTTAAGAAACTAAATTAATCTTTCACTTAAATTATCTTGTAAAAGCTATTCTCAAATACAAATTGAATAGTGCGACAAAAGAAGCACGAGTTCTTACTGGCATTTTTTGATATGAATAGAAGCACGATCGCGCTGTTTGTCGCTTTTCGCACGCATTCTCGCGCTCGCCTTCGATTAAACTAAATGTAAGCTTTGAAACACAATAGAATCTAAATACCACGTAAATGCAAACTTGTTGCATTTCGAGATTATATATCATTGAATATCGTAATTCTATAGAATTACTGCTGTAATTTCACAGGAAGTCGTGTTCTTCGTGGCAGGTACTTTTAAAATTGCAGGTCTCGCTAATGATAATCGTACATCATACATTGTTATTATTATTTCGCATTCAGCAGTCATCGCCATTCGGCACATGCTTAGAAAGGAACAAACATTCGCGATCCATCCCCCACTATCAGAGTGACATTGGTTACTCTCGCATAATATCAGATCGCACGCGCGACCGACATATCGCGCCGCGCGAGTAGCGGATCGATCTCGTCATCGTTGGCGTTTCGCACCCGACCTCTGGACACCCTACCACAATGGTCATCCCGTCCAGTCTCCAATGGTCGGTGTTCTATCCCTTCTCGTGGTGTCCCTCGACACATCCCTCCGGGTTCGAAGGTCACGGTAACGCCGCAACCGCCGTGCCGGCGTCCTGCGGCTCGAACCTGAAGAGGTTTCATTCGACTCGGACCGGGGTAGGGAGACTATATATAACACCGTCGCCGACGCACTCTCTTTCAGTATTCTCGCGCGCGGCGGTTTCGGAGGCGCGCAATACGGCTGCGAAATTCTCCTCGGTGTTTCGTCCTCGTCAATAGTGTTCTCGGAAAGGAAATCTTTCCGCGCGATCCGCCGTGCACAAAGATAAGTACGAGATTTCGGGGCTAACTTTCACCGAGTCTCTTCAGGGT